GCAGGGTTAGCATGGCGGCCTCGGGGCATTTCGCCACACCCCTCAAGAGGACCGTGGCCCCATAGGGAGCTTCACCGACTGCTCCCACTGGCAGGGTTCGCATGGCGGCCTCGGGCCATTTCGGCACACCCCTCACGAGGATCGTGGCCCCACAGGGAGCTTCACCGAAGGCGCCAGCGGCAGGGTTCGCATGGCTGCCTCGGGCCATTTCGGCACACCCCTTACGAGGATCATGCCCCCATAGGGAGCTCCACCGACGGCCCCAGTGGCAGGGTTCGCATGGAGGCCTCGGAGCATTTCGGCATACCCCTCACGAGGATCGTGGCCATATAGGGAGCTCCACCGAAGGCGCCAGGTGCAGGGTTCGCATTGCGGCCTCGGGCCATTTCGGCGCACATCCCACGAGGATCGTTGCCCCGTAGGGAGCTCCACCGAAGGCCCTCAGTGGCAGGATTTGCATGGCGGCCTCGGGCCATTTCGGCACACCCCTCACGAGGATCGTGGCTCCACAGGAAATCACTGAAGGCGCCAGTGGCAAGGTTCGCATGGCGGCCTCGGGCCATTGCGGCACACCCCTCACGAGGATCGTGGCCCCATAGGAGCTCCAGCGAAGGCGCCAGTGGCAAGGTTCACATGGCGGCCTCGGGCCATTTCGGCACACACCTCATGAGGATCGTGGCCCCACAGAAACTCCACCCAAGGCGCCAGTGGCAGGGTTCGCATGGCTGCCCCGAGCCATTTCGGCACACCCCTTAGGAGGATCGCGCCAGTGGCAGGGTCCGCATGTGGTTCCCCGCCCGATTTCGGCACACCCCTCACACGTTTCGTGGCCCCATAGGGAGCTCCACCGAAGGCCCCAGTGGCCGGGTCCGCATGCGGTTCCTCGCATGCGGACCTTGAGGGGTCTCTACAAGCACTTGGATCTGTCTTGTGGCCTTCTTGGGGCCTCTTGGAAGCATGGTTTTATCTAGCTTGAGCCATGTTGGACTATCTTGAGCGATCTCAGAGGCCATCTTGGGCTCTCAGAGGCCCTCTTGGAGCTATCTTGGGCCATCTTGGACGCCCTGATTGCTCGTGCCCGCCCCCGTCGAGGTCCAGGAGAGGGGGTAGGGGGAGGGGTAACCCCTCCCCGAAGGGGAAGAGGGTCTTTTTGGAAGAGGAAAGAAGCATCTCGTTAGACCGCCTGTCGACTAGAGGTCTCGCGGGATTGTACCCCTGGTGTTCTTCTCAGGGGCGCAGGGGTCCATGTTCGGGTCGGACGCGCGCCTCCGAGGAGGGCACGTACTACGCAGTACACATCTAACGGGGAACCGGCCCGGGGGGGGCTTGGGGCCGCAGCCCCGACTACAGATGCGGGTGCCGGGGGCCGGGCCCGCTCTCGTGGAGCCCGAAGTCGCATGGGAAAGCAGTCCGACGGGATCCACGGCGGCCCAAGACAGGCGCGAGCAAGTCTCAAGACGGCCTCCGGGAGTCTTCGACGTCTCACGAGCCGTCTCCACGGCCCCAAAGGCCTCCAAGACATTTCAAGGCCCTTCAAATTCGTCCCCCGAGAAGGCCCCGAGAGGCAAACATAGCCCCATTCCCTTTGCAAGACGCGCGTATTTTGCCTAGTCGTTTTTTTTTTGTTTGTCGTCGTACCGTCCTTGAAGAGGGTCCCAAGACAGTCCAAGAGGCACCCAAAAGGGCTTGAATGCGCTCTGAAAGGGCTTCAAGAGAAGCTCAAGATGGGAAAATCCAATTGACATTTCGAGCCCCCAGCCCCAAGAGGACCCCCGAGACCCCAAGAGGCCCCCAAGAAGCCCCAAAGAGGCCCCATGAGGCACCCAAGACGCCTGCGAGAGGCGCCAAGATGTCCCCAGGGGGCCCCTAAGAGGGAGGCTTCCAAGAGGCCTCCAGAGGCCCCTAGGAAGCCCCTAGGACACCCCAATGAGACCCCCAAGAGGCTTCCAAAAAATAGCGCTTCGCGTATTCTCACCACTGATTTAGATCTTGGCGCGGCTGCCTTGCTTCTGGACGGCGCGCAGTTGGACCGCGACGCTCGCGAACAAAAAATCCTCACCACATCCAGCAAAGACGCTCAGCCAAGTTCAGGTGATGAGGGAAGTGTAGGAGCAAAGAGGGGGGTAGCCGTTATCGTTCGAAAGAGGAGGATTGGTGAGGGAGGATGGGGAATGATGAGAACTAGGCGGATGATGATGGTGATGATGACGATGACGACAATGACGACGATGAGGAGGTGGAGGAGGATGGATGACGAGGTAGCGGGAAGGGGGTGCGGATGCGGAGGAGGAGGAGGCGGAGGAGGAGCAGGAGGAGGAGCGAGAAGGAGGAGGAATCGGCGGAGGAGGAGGAGGAGGAGGAGGAGGAGGAGGGCCAGAGGACTCTTGGAGATTTTTGGGTTTTCTTGGCGATCCCTTAGGCCTCCTCGGGCGTCTTGGGTGCCTCTGCAAGGCCTCTTGGGGCCCATTGGGAGACGCTTCGGAGTCTCTTGGTGGCGTCTTTGGGGCCTCCCTGGGCCGCTTCCGGCCCTCTTGAGGCTCTGTTGGGGCTCCTTTGAGGGGCCTCACAGGCCTTCTCGGGAACATCTTTGAGGATAGGATATCGATCACAGAGGAGGGTCCTTACACAGAGGAGGGTCCTTAATTGCATTGTCTCTCTGGAGTCCCTAAGATCACCTCTTGGGGTCCTGTTAGGGCGGACCACTCTTGGAGCTCTACCCAGGCCCTTCTGGGCTTCCCAGGGCTCTTTCTGAGCACTTGTACGCACTATTGGGCTTCCGCTTGGGACCCTCTCAGATCAGAGCCTCTACAGCCTTTCTGAGAGCGCTTCCTGGGGCTCCCTTGAGGCGCCACACGCAACTATCTTCTGGCCCTCTCTCGACGCACCTCGGAATATCTCTCCCGTGCCCCGTTTGGGGGCCTCCCTTGGGCTCTCTGGGAGCCGCCCCTTGGCACCCTCTGGGGCTCCTTTGCGGGGCGCCCTCGGGATCTGACTCGGCTGCGCTGGGGACCTTTTCCTGGGCCCTCCTTGAAGCGATCTTGGGATCTCCTGAGAGCGCCTTGTCGTTAATTATTTGTTTGCTCAGTCCACGTTATTCATGCCTCTTCACGCCACGTTCCAGCCAGGTAACCCCTCGCGTCACATGAGTGCTTACGCATCTGTACGCAGTGGTCGGACTGTCAAGAGCAGGCGCTTGCTAGAATCTAAGCGCGCGCGAAGCGCGCGCGTGATTCTAGTACTACTATGTCCTTGTGCGTTCCACCCGAGGCCTGCAGAAGCCCGAAAAGGGTCCCAAGCCTCATGCGAACCTCGATCCTCGAGCCTAGACCCTCGATATGCGTCGTGGCGGGCGCTTTGTACTGGAAGATGGGTCTACTATATGTTCGGGTCGGACGCGCGCCTTCAAGGAGCACATCTAGTAGCAGCATGTCTCTGTGCGTCCCAGTCTGGGTTCGGCCGGTTGCTGCGCCGCTGGCGTTCTTCTAGGCTGCTTCCGTTCGGGCGGTTTCGGCCAGTCTCGGTCAGTTTCGCCATCGCCATCGCTTCGGTCGGTTTTCGATCTCGGCGTCGCCCCGGACGTCCTCCATGGACCGAGACGTCCGGGGAGCGGCTCCGGCTTTTGGCCATCCGCGGCCTCTACCGCCCAGCGAAGCGGCCGAAGCGGGCGGCGGTGCCCAAGCCGGCCGTCTCCGCAGAAGACGTGCCGCCGGCCGCTGGCGCGTAGGGCCCGCCAGGGCCTGGGCGCCGCGCGCGCCCGCCGCGCTCGGCGAGTAAAAGTCCGGCTTCCTCCGCCTCCTCCTCCGCCTCTGAGGCCACGGCCTCATTCACCTGGTCTCCAGCAGGCCCGGATTGCTGTCCGCATTGGTGGTCGTTCGTTCGTTCGTTCGTTCCTCCGCCTCCTCCGTCCCTCCCTCCCTCCCCCCTCCCCCCTGGAGGGAGCAGCGCCGCGAGAGCCTCTGGTCGAGTGGCGGAATGGTGGACCTCCTCGCGCAGCGAAGGCCATCACGACCCGAAGACTTCGGGCCGCCTTCGGCACCCAGAGGGCCCCTCGCCCGTCTCCGGCGCCTCCTCCTCGTCCTCCTCTTCCTCCTCCTCCGCCTCCTCCTCCCTCTCCTCCTCCTCCTCCTCCTCCTCCTCCTCCTCCCTCCTCCTCCCTCCTCCTCCTCCTCCTCCTCCTCCGCCTCCTCCTCATCCTCCTCTTCCCCCTCCTCCTCCCCCTCTCCCTCCCCCTTCTCCCCCCCCTCCTCCTCCTCCACCTCCTCCTTTCTCCTCCTCCTCCTCCTCCTCCTCCTCCTCCTCCTCCTCCTCCTATTCCTCCTCCTCCTCTCCTCCTCCTCCTCCTCCTCCTCCTCAGTCCTCGTCCTCCCCCTCATCCTCCTCCTCCTCCGTCCTCCTCCTCAATCCTCCTCCTCCTCCTCCTCCTCCTCCTCCTCCTCCTCCTCATCTTCCTCCTCCGTCATCCTCAGTCCTCCTTCTCCCCTGCTGTGTCTCAGGGGCTGCCTGCCCGACCCCTTGGCAAAACGACCCCTTCCGTGGCGACCCTCCGCGCCTCGCTCCGAGGCGTGGGCAGGTGGCCGGCTGGGGGCCTCGCGGGCGCGGGCTCGTCACGGAGAGAGCTCGTCACGGAGTGGGGTCGTGTAGGCGGCGGCGCTCCCGATCTTTCTTCCTCGTTCTCTGTTCACCTCCTGCTGCTCCTGCTTCCTCGTTCCTCCTCTCAGGCTCTCTGCCCCCCCTACCCTCCCCCTTCCTCCCTCCTCATCCTGCCACTTCCCGGACCTGCTCCCCTGTTTTCTGCTGGAGGAGAAGGAGGAGGGGGAGGAGGAGGAGGAGGAGGCGGAAGGAGGAAGGAGGAAGGAGGAAGGAGGGCGGAGGAGGGAGGTAGGAGGGAAGAGGAGGAGAAGGGGGGGAAGGGAGAATGAGGTTCTGCTCTGACTCCCTCCCCCTCGAGGGGGAGTGCACGAGGAGGAGGGCAACCGCTCGGGCAGCCGCGGCGGTTGCAGGAGACGCGGTCGAACCGGCAGCTGGTTTTGCAGCTGCTCGCGGCGCTGCTCGTGGGCGGCGCCCCCGCGGCGCCAGGGGGGCGGCGGGGCTCCTCGTAGGCGGCTCGTCGATGGCTCTCGGGACAGGGCGCATTTCGACTCCTCCGATTCGATTCGATGTCGATGGTTTCCGATTCCGATTCGGTTCGACTTGGGATTCCGATTTGGGTTCCGATTTCTCACTGGACGCATATTAGCCTGCCGATTTCCGCCGATTCGACTTTTCCCGACGCGGCTGCCGATTTCCGCCGATCCGAACCATGTCGATCGCAGATCCGATTTGTCGATTCGACTCGGGGTTCTCCTGTCTGGAGGGAGAGAGCCGTTGGGAGCCCGTCAGCGTAGTATTCCTTCGTGTTCGTCCACGGTTGAGTGCTCGCCCTCTCCTCCCCCCCGCGGCCGCCTGCCTTTCTGCTTCCCTCCTCATGCATGCTGGCCAATTCGCTTTGTAGTGCCCCTGCATCGCTGCCACGCTGGAGCGGATTGTCCCGCCTCGCTGCCGACAGAACAAGTGATCGTCCACGGTTCTGGTGTTCTTCTCAGCGGTGGCACAGTGCCCGGATCCCCACTGCGGCGTGGCATTGATGATATTGCGTTTGTTCTTCACCAGGCTCGTCGGCCTCTTTCTCGCCGTCGTGAGCGAAGGGGCGGACGTCGACGTCGCGCGGGGGGACGTCGCGCGGGGGGATGTCGAGGAGGAGGAGGAGGAGGAAGAGGAGAAGGAGGGGGACGTCGAGGAGGAGGAGGAGGAGGAGGAACTGAACTGAACTGAAGTAGCCTCGGATCCCCTGCTGAGTCACTCCGCTGATAGGGGCCGCTGTCGCCAACTAGCGATCTGGCCCGAACCGCACCCTTCCCACACGCAGGGGGTCTGAGGCTGTGCGGCACTCACCTGGCAAAATTTGGACGGCCACCTGTAGCCCCTCGAGCCCTGCCCTTGCCCCCGTCCCGCGTCCCACCTCCCTTCCCCTCGGTCCTTGGCTCTGGGAGTCGGTGAATTCGGAACTGGCTTGGGAGAGCGGATGAAAAAGGTAAATCAGGTGCAGCATGTGGAGGAGGTCTCGGGGGGGGAGTCTACCTGCGTTGGCGAGTTCCCTAAAACTAGCATTCTGAGAAAAGGCGGGGGGAATAGGGTAGGGGAGAGTTGCGTTAACTATTCACGACTCTGACGGCTCTCACTTCAGAAGTCGACCGATGTCCCTTTCGAGAGCTCTTCTCGGCGCAGGAGGAGGAGTATGAGGAGAAGAAGAAGGACAATAGGGGTCGTCGGCAACGCAACGTGGTCGCAGGAGGGTGACGAGGGGGCGGCAGCTCGGAAGGCGAGGCCAGGAGGAAGAGACGGAGGGCGAAAGAAGAGTGAATCTGAAAAAGCGGAGGCGAAGTTGCGGAAGTGGGAGGCGAAAGTCGGCGGCGAGAGTGGGGTGTGAGTGGGAGGCGCGTAAATGGGTGGCGGAAGGGGGTGAAAGGCGGACTGCGAACGCAGGTGTTGAACGTGGGTGTGAAATTGAGCGACGAGAGAGGGAGAAGGAGGAGGAGGAGCAAGAGTGTCGTCGAATCTCGGCATGCGCGAATGCCCGCCGAGAGACTTTTGCAAATATCGTTTGCCTCCGATGTCTCTTTCTGCAGGCCCGGCAGCCCTCCGGCCGGCAGTTTGAGAATTGATTTGCTTCGCAGTCGTCATCCCCAGCATCATCAGCATCATCAGCAACACCATCACACTTTCATATGGATCGTCCTGTTCCGTCCTCATCCGCTTCCTTCCAGAATCCTTCCACCCCCTCCACTCCTGCCCCCCGCGGCCCCCCATCTCCCCGACCGTCCCCGGACTCCATTCCTGTCCCACTCCTGTTCCCCCACTGCCCGCTCCTGTCCAACCTCCTCTTGCAGCAGCGCGCGACCAGCCGTTTGCGGCCGCGCACGATGCGTGCACAGCTGGCCTTCGTTGCGGCCTGGTTTGCCGCCCCGAAGTGTTGCTTGGACGGTGTTCTGCCACTCGTGGCACGCAGCCTGTTTCTCCCGTGCTTTTCTCCCTCGCGATGCGCGCTGCCCAGTCGGTCAAAATGTTGGCCTTCCATTCTTGCTTTTATCTGGCGCTCGGTGGTGAAGCAGGCGCAGCCGAGGCCCAGAAGGGGCCTCGCTCCTCATCCGAGGTTCCCTGTGGGAGAGCCTTCGCCCTGCCAGGTGCTGGTCGGCCGGCCTGCATCGTGTCGTGTCGTCTCTCGTTCCCGCCGTCGTGTCGTGTCGCGTCGTGCTCCACACATTGCACCGGATGTTCTGACAGCTCGCTGCGATGTACGAGCGCTGAGCCTGGAACGCCTGCCTCCAGACAGAATTGAAAGACGGACGTGAACAGAAGTGAAGTGGGTGAAGTGGATTGCCACGGGACTCCTCTTGCGCTTGTAAAAAAGTGCGTGGCCTCTGGGCCTGGCCGGGGGCCGATGTGCACCGGGGTGTGAACACGGGAGGCTTGGCGGTGGTGCATGCCCTGCTTCCCCCCACTCCCCCGTTTCTCCTCCCGCCTGGCCCTCCTCATGCTGCCTCCCCTGCTTTCCCTCCTCACCACCCACCAAGCCACCCCAAACCAACCCGAAGGCCTCAATTTGCCCTCCATTTCCAGTTGGGGGGGGGTCGGGAACCATTGAAAAAACGTATGAAACCCGTACCCCCCCAACCCGAAATTCGGGTCTTCGGGTTGGGTTGGGGTGGTCAGGTAGGTAGTCCCCTCCCCTCGCTCCTGCTCTTCTCGCCTCGCCTCATCCCGCCTCTGCGCCGAGCCTCCGCCTGAAAATCTGGGGCCCCCCCACCGATTCAGCGGCGGCCAGCCCCTGTCAGGGCCGGTGATTTCCTGGACCACCGTGCCTGAGTTGCCAGTCCAGGCTGTTGGATTCTGCAGGGTCCCTGGGAGGCATCCTCGGTCGAGGTCCGGCCCCATGCCGCATACGGTAGGTTCGCGTCGTGTCGACCGGCGGCAACCCCCTGGCGCAGGCGTTCAACGTTGAACGCCACAGGCGACACAGCATCGGCCAAGGTTGAATGATCGGACGTTTCGGAATTGGTCGATCGCTGAAGGCTGAACGATCCCCGGGGTGTCAGGAACCAACGGTGGAGTCGACAAAACGTGAGCCCGCCGTAACCCAGCCACGCGCAGAAGGGGGATATGGGGGAGGGAGACGGGTTCTTAGAAGCACCCCTGCTTCTTAGGAGGCGCGGGCCTTGCCTGTAGATGTAAGGCCCGCGCCTTCTAAAAAGCGGCCTCCTTCGAAGAAGCCCTCCCCCCGCCCCTACCTCTCTCTGCGCGTGGCCAAGTAGCCCTCATCCCCCCCGCGTGGCCCGCAGAGGGGGGCCGGCAGGCCGCGGCCGAGCGGCAAGCCGCCGCGGAGGCGGCGGAGGGCGAGGCTCCCCCCCCGCGCGGCTTAGGCTGCACCTGTCGTCGAGCCGTCGGCGGCGGCGGGCGTCGGCGCTTCGTCCACGGCGGCGGTCGTCGGCGGCGTCGATCGGTCGCTCGCGGTGGCGGCGATCGGTCGACGACGGCGGCTCCGTCGGTGGCGGCCGTCCTCGCTGTCCTCGCGGTCGTCATGGACGGTCTGTCCTGCACTCGTCCTCCTGGACACGCCACCGTCAGAGAGCGAGCACGCCAGATGGGAGATCGAGCACGAGGCCGGAAAGAGCCAACGAGCCAGGAGAGGGCACAGTATGTGCAGCACGACACCAGCCAGAGACAATGGGGGACAGCAGGTATGCAAGCTGGCGGCCAAAGAGCGCCCCCCTTCGCGAGGGGCCGTCTTGCACCCTGTGGGGGGCATGCCCGGCTCTTGCAGAAGCCCTCCTCGCCCCTGAAGGAGCCCATTGCCTCTGATAATGAAGGATCCCCCCCTTTAGGCCCGAGAGCTGATTATCCCGGGCCTCTGCCCCTGCCCCCCCCCCCTCCCTCCGCTCCCCCTCCGCCTTCATCTTCCTTCCTTCCTGGAGCGGTCGTGCAGAGCGAACTCGGAGTCAACGGGCGCCGGCGGCGACGGAGGCAAGCGGCCCTCCTCCCCCTCCCCCTCCCTCGCCCTCCCTCGCCCCTCCCTCGCCCCTCCCTCCCTCCTCCTCCCCCTCCCCTCCCTCGCCCTCCCCCCGCCCATCCTGCTCCCCCTGCCTGCCCCCGCCCCCTTTCCTGACTCCCCTCGCCCTCACCCCGCTATGGAAAAGGATTCTTGCTCGCCCTGAGACCGCCGGAGGAGGCGTGAGAGACGAGTGGCAGCGATCCGCCTCGGATGATGACGATCAAAACTGCCATCATCAAGGGAGATGAGAGCCCTCTGTACCCTCCCCTGCTCACCCCCCCAATCCGTCCTCCACCTGCCGCAACATTGACGCCGCACGCGCGCCATTTCTTTCTCACCCCCCACCGGAATGCAGGGCAGAAGGCGCAACACGTTCCGTTGGGGAGACCGGGCAGAGCAGAAGCTCGCGCGCCTGGTCGTCTCAGCTGGCGGGTTCGCCAGAGGCTACCAGTTGGCACGCACTTGCTTTGTTTTCGCAAGCGCGCACGCGCACGGACAGCCCACGCAGTAGTAGCACCGTCAGAGGCGCGATGGATCAGCCGCGGGGACACCCCCAGCGGAGACCGACCAGCCGCACGCCCTTGCCCGCTCGCAATGCAAATCGCGGAATCCGTAGCGTTGACGCTCAGGAGAGACGAACGCGCACGGCAAAGCGTCGAGCGGCACGCAGGGGGCGCAGGCGAACGAAACAAGTGTTGAAGGGAAGCGACACCCGGGCCCAGGCCCAGGAACCCAACGCACCGATGCGAGTGGTGGAGCCAGGGAAACACGGACATACCGTTCGAATCGTAGCATTCAGTACCAAAGGCATGAAACTTGCGGGGGAACGAGACGACATCGAAGCTCGTGTGCGAAGTAGCTCTATAGGTATAGTAGGATTTGAAGAAACCCACATAAACACAAACTCAAAAGAGCACGGGCGAATATGCCACCGATATTTTTGCGGGGGAACCCAAAACAGGGGACGGGACGCAGCGCGATTCTCATCAGGCGCGGAGTTTATGATCCAAAGAGAACACGCGAAATGTGTATTGGACGTGACCCCCATGAGCGATCGCATCTGTACGCTGTCGTTTGCCCACGTACCGCCCATGTACATCATCATTGTGTACGCGCCCGCGGCAGAAAGACCAGCAGCGGACAATATTGCCGTTCATGATTCGCTCCAGAAGGAATCCGCCAGACGCCGGGCAATGGCCCTACGTACATCATGGGAAACTGGAGCGCTCGGGTACACTGCGCGACGTCAGAAGAGGAAACAACGGTCATAGGAACACACGCGTTTGATCCAGCAAACACGAACCCGTTGGGGCGAGCAGAGTTCCTGACTTTCTCCCAGACACATCGGTCCCTCTTCCTGACTTTCTCCCAGACACATCGGTTAAAGGCGGGAAAAAACAAATTTTCCAGAAGGCCCAAAGCAAGCTCGCCGCATACAGAGAACCGGGAACGAAGCTAGACAGCCCTTTCAAACGAGGAACGCATGGACAATTCGATTTCTTCTTGGTCATGCAAAAATGGCAAAACTCCATCCTAGATTGCGAGGCGGACACATTGGCAAACATCTCGTCATATCACTACCCGCTCACCGCCACAATCCGGATCAAGTAAAAAGCCGTCGACAAATCACAAAAACCAAGCAGAGCCAAATACAGGGAATGTAAGATATAAGAGCGGACGAAAATCAACGATTGCTTCCGCCAGGCTACGCAGGACGACGCTCAAGGGTGCAAGGTCATACAAGTTGCTTGAGAATTTGAAGCTTGAGCTTACTGCCAGGTGATGACAGCAACGGCGGCAGCCTGGCTCTTCAGCGTCCTTCGTCCCAGTCCCCCCCCGCGTCGTCGACGTCGTTCTCGTTGTTTCGAAGTGTTCGGGGACGTTTCTGTATGCACGGGCTGGACGCAGCTCGAAACAGTGGCCAGCATGGGTTGAAAGGGGTCAATCCTGCAGCTGCTGCTCGTCTTCCGATGTCTCTTCCTCTTGTTCCTCCTTCATGATCACGCGTCACGCCTCCCTCCTCGCCTCTCGCCTCCTCTACATTCCTTCTCTTCCCTCTTTTTGCTGTCGCCTGCAGCAGAACAGCGATCTCTCTCCTAGTCGCCTGCCTCCTCCCTCCTCCATCTCCTCCTCCTCCTCCTCCTCCTCCTCCTCCTCCTCCTCCTCCTCCTCCCCCTCCTCCTGTTCCTCCTCCTCCTGTTCCTCCTCCTCCTGTCCTCCTCTCCTCTCCTCATCCTCCCTCCCATGCCCTCCACCTCATCATCCTCTTCTGCCAGCCCCCTCCCCAAAGAGGCCGCAACGGGCGCGGAGGTGGCTGGGAGGCGGGCCCGCCTGTGCCCCCGCCGGCCAGCAGCGGAGACCGCCCATCCGAGTGCTTCGGGTAGGGACCAGGGGGAGGAGGCGGGATCGAGGAGGAGGAGGAGGAGGAGGAGGAGGAGGAGGACGGTCGAGGGGGAAAGAGGATCGAGGAGGAGGAGGACGGCGACGAGGATCGATGGGAACGATGATCGAGGAGGGTGAGTGGGAAAGCCATCGAGGGGGAGGCGGAGGAGGATCTAGGAGGAGGAGGAGGAGGAGGAGGATCCAGGAGGAGGAGGAGGAAGGATGGGAAGGTTGCGGAGCGACGATCGAAATATGTGGGCGTGCCCGCGGGGTCGCGACACACCAGTGGCGCTGCGCGCGTCGCGAAACCTGCGCTGGAGAGGTACCTTTGCTCCATGGGCGTCGCGCGAGATGGCAGAGACAACTGCGCGTCGCGCGTCGTCGGGCACGAAGCGCGGCGTCAGGCGACCTAGCAGGGCTTGTTTCGCTTCCTTCGATTCGATTCGACTTCGATGGCTTCCGATTCTGGTTCGATTCGACTTCGGATTCCGATTTGGATTCCGATTCCTGCCGATTTCCGCCGATCCCATTCATTTCGATCGCCGATCCGACTTATCGATTCGATTCTGGTCTCTCCAGCCTAGTGGCATGCGACTGTGATTGTTTCCAGGCGGCGCGGAGGTCGGCCAGTCGGGAATCTCAGCCCGTGGCGCTCTCCTTCCCCACCCTCAACCGCCATCCTGCTGAAGTTCAGTTTGAATTGCGTGATGGCAGGGTTTATAGTTCAGTGTGCTTTTGCTTTTGGAGACGCCGGTTGCCAAGGCTGCTCGGAAAGAAGGGGCCCAGAGATCGATTCTGAAAGTTGGTTGGTTGTTCCAAGTCAACCGCGAGAGCGCGAACATTACAGCGCCTCGCGGACTGTGCCACAGAGCCGTCTTTCTCCCAGAGGCGGTGCGATGGTGCCAAGCTGACTGCGCTCCGCGTAGCACGGCGCGCGACATGAGGCGAGCTAGAGTCGGACAGTGAACAAGCATCCCAATTGGTTGAACGAGGGAAAACGGCAGGAGCTCTTCTTCCTTTACCCTCTGCGTGGTGTCTCTGGCAGGGTCGATTCGGAAGGGACTTAGGGCCAAAAACGGGGCAAGAATGCCCATCGTGATTTGTGTCTAACCCTCTTGTTTTGTATTATCGTTTTCAATGGAGCACCGTGGTAGCCACTCCTTCTCCTTCTCCTCCACTCTCCTCCTGCCTCCTCCTGCGCTGCTCCCTGGGAGCCTTTGAATGGCGCATCTGGCGCCACTCGAAGTGCAAAGCTGTCGTCATTTCGTCGGCTCTTCTGGGGCCCAGCATCGTGACGTCCTACGCACATCGGAATGAGATGTCGCCGTCGCTGGCGGCTGCGAACTGCGAAACCGTCGCCACGCTCGAGTGCAACTGGGGGGTTCAGCATAGTGTCGTCCTACGCACATCAGGCTGCGCAGTGCGAAACCGTCGCCATTTTCGAGGGCTGCTGGAGGGTCCAGCATACTGCACTACGCACACCAGCATGTTATCTCGCCGTCCCTTGGTGTGGTTGCGAGCTGCGGGCCCGTCTCCATTTTCGAGGCTGCTGCGGGGGCCAGCACAGTGACGTGCTACGCACATCAGAACGAGACCTCGGCGTCCCTGGCGGCTGTGAATTGAGGAAGTGTCTCCACTTTCGAGCGTTACTAAGGGGTCCTGCGTACTGACGTTCTACGGAGACCTCGCCGTCTGTACGGGCACTGAAGAGCGACACTGTTACTACTTTCGAGGGTGGTTTGGGGGTCAAGCATAGTCACGTCCTACGTAGATCAGCATGCGACCTCGTCGTCCCTGGAGACTGCCGAACTGCGCAACTGTCGCCATGGTCGAGGGCTGCTGGTTGGTCCGGCATAGCGACGTCCTACGCACATCGGAATGAGACCTCGCCGCCCATGGGGGCTGCGCACTGCGAGTCTGTCGCCAGTTTCGAGGGCTGCTGGGGGTCCTAGCGACGTCCTACGCACTCAGAGTGAGACCTGGTCGTCCCTGGGGACTGCCACCTACGACACCTTGTCACTGTCCAGGGCTGCTGGGAAGTCCAGCACTGGATATTGCCGTCCCTGGCGGCTGCGAAATGCGACACAGTCGCCACTTCCGAGGGCTGCTGGGGCGTCCAACATAGTGACGTCCTACGCACATCTGAACTGTACCTCGCCCTCCTTTGGGGGGCTGCGAAATGCAAAACTGTCGCCCCTGTCGAGGCTGCTGGGGGGAACCAGCGTAGTGACGTCCTACGCACATCTTAATGAGATCTTACCGTCCCTGCCGACTGCGAACTGCGAATCTGTCGCCACGTTCGACGGCTGCTGGGGTCCAGTGACGTCCCACGTACATCATAGCAGTACCTCGCCGTCCTTTGGGGGGGGGGTCGAAAGCGAAAACCGTCATTTTCGAGGCTGTAGGGGGGCGGACCAGCACAGTGACATCCTACGCACATCAGAATGAGATCTCGCCTTCCCTGCCGGCTGCGAACTGCGAATCTGCCGCCACGTTCGACGGTTGCTGGGGGTTTCAGCATAGTGGCGTCCTACAGAAACCAGAAGGAGATCTCGCGGTCCCTTGGGGCTGCGAACTGTGAGTCTGTCACCACTTATGAAGGCTGCTGGAGGATCCAGCATAGTGAAGTCCGACGTAGATCAGCATGAGACCTCGCCGTCTTTGGGGGCCGCGAACTGCGACTCTGTCGCCATTGTCGTCACTTTCGAGGGCTGCTGGAGGGTCCAGCATAGTGACGTCCTGCGAACATCTTAACGAGATCTTAACGTCCCTGCCGACTGCGAACTGCGAATCTGTCGCCACGTTCGACGGCTGCTGGGGTCCAGTGACGTCCCACGTACATCATAGCAGTACCTCGCCGTCCTTTTGGGGGGGGGGGGTCGAAAGCGAAAACCGTAATTTTCGAGGCTGTAGGGGGGCGGACCAGCACAGTGACATCCTACGCACATCAGAATGAGATCTCGCCTTCCCTGCCGGCTGCGAACTGCGATTCTGCCGCCACGTTCGACGGCTGCTGGGGGCTCCAGCATAGTGGTGTCCTACAGAAACCAGAAGGAGATCTCGCGGTCCCTTGGGGCTGCGAATTGCGAGTCTGTCGCCACTTATGAAGGCTGCTGGAGGATCCAGCATAGTGAAGTCCGACGTAGATCAGCATGAGACCTCGCCGTCTTTGGGGGCTGCGAACTGCGACTCTGTCGCCATTGTCGCCACTTTCGAGGGCTGCTGGAGGGTCCACCATAGTGACGTCCTGCGAACATCAGAATGAGACCTCGCCGTCCTTGGCGGCTGCGAAATGCGAACTGCCGCCGCTTTCGAGGGCTGCTGCGGGTCCAGCATAGTCATGTTATGCGCACATCAGAATGAGCCCTCGTCGTTCCTTGGGGATTTCTGGTTACTTCTGCAGATGCGCCATGTTCGGTTCGTTTTCAAGTGACTCTTGTTTGCTATTGTCTCTGAAGCGTCCCTTCAATGTTCTGGCCTGGGGAGCTGCGAACAGCACAGCTGTTGCCACGGGCTGCTGGGAAACATGTTTGTGTGGCCCGACATTCCTTGGGGAAATGTTCTAGGGCGCCGCGGCTTCTTCAAGTTATATGTTTGTAATGAGAGGTCCTCAGTATCGTCGCCCCATGTGTATAGAGGTTGGGGTGCGTCCCCAGGTAAGTGCTTTCTGTTGTCCAAAAGATGCTGAGTACACCACTACCGTGCCCTGGGATGATGCACAGAGCTTGCCGACCAAGGCCAGCTGGGCGCATACCCGGTGCCATGGCCCAGGACAGGCATGGTGGTGGCATGCAGGTGCCGTCCGCGTCTGCTCGCCAGCGCGCGCGCGCGCCCCCGCGGATGCCGTCGGAGGCCCTCGCAGGACTTGTCGGGGGCGGCAGGGAGGGGGGTGATGACTAGGGGTGCGTGGATACCATGGCGAGGGCCATGACATCTCCCCAGGTTTCACGGCGCCTCCTCTTGCTTCAACGCGTCCCGGGCCCCCCCCCCTGGGCCGCGCACGTGCCGCCGGCCATGATTTGCGCCCCCCCTCCCCTCTGGGACGCCCCCTTCTTGGACGCCCCCGAAGGCGCCCCGCGTCGCCCCCCCCCTCCGAGCTGGTGGCACCCCGTTCCAGGCGGCGCTGCCCGGGAGGGGGTGCCACGGGCTGTCGGGGGGCGGCCTCTGGCAGCGGGGCTCGGGTGGTGGTGGCTCCTCCTCCTCCTCCTCCTCCTCCTCCTCCTCCTCCTCCTCCTCCTCCTCCTCCTCCTCCTCCTCCTCCTCCTCCTCCTCTCCTGCGCTCCTGGCTCGGCGGGGCCCCGTCCACGCTCCCGCGTGCTCGTGCCACCGCGCCAGGCCGCGCGCGGCCCCTCGGGCCGTCCGCGCGGCGCGCTCGCCGCCGAGAGGCGGCTGCTCGTGGGCGACCCGCGCCCGCTGGCCTACCTGTGCGACCCGGGGGAGCCGGTGCCGTTGCGCGGCGCGCGGCCGCGGCCGGGGGGGGGTCGAGGCGGAGGGCGGGGGCCGAGGAGGGGCCGAGGAGGAGGGGGGAGGGAGGGATGCAGAAGCCAGGTCCTGGCCTCTCAGGAGATGGGGGCCAGAGGGGCCCAGCTCGGCCGCTCGCTGACGCCAGGATGGGGCAGAGGCCCTCGTCCCAGCGATCGCCGCCCCGATGAGTCGGTAGGCAGCGCGGCGCGGGCGAGACAAGGGACGAGGTCCGCTCGGCTACGCGCGAGGGATGACAAGCTAGGTGCGCTCGCGTCATATCTGACGTCCTGCCCCTCCCGCCCCTCCTATACCATGGCGTAGATCTCCTCTCTATTCGCACAGTCGTACGCCGTAGCAGGGCATAGCAGCACATGGCATAGCATGGTGTTAAAGATCAGCGCGTAGCCTGACATAGCATGGCGTGGCGACGCCCCAAAGTGAGGGGGGACTTCTGCGTCCCAAAAAATCAACGAATCGGCACCGAATGTGTAATCACTTCCGATGGTTTTGTTCGGGGGCCATTTTCTAGATTTTGGGGCCCATTCAAAAGGTTCGAAAACCATGCCGCGGCATGGCGCTGGAAGTAATGACGCCAGCGCTGCAGCGGGAGCACGATTCGGAACGAGCGGAAGGGCGGAAATGAGGCCAGCGCCGCAGCGGGATCACGATTCGAAACGAGCGGTAGTCTAACATAGCATGGCGTGGCGACGCTCTCAAGTGGGGCTTCTGCGACCCAACAAATCAACAAATCGACATCGAATGTGTAATCGCTTCCGATGGTTTTGTTCGGGGGGGGCTTTTTTGGGGCTTTGGGGCCCATTCAAAAGGACAGCAAACCATGCCATGGCACGGCGCTGGAAATAATGACGCCAGCGCTGCAGCGGGAGCACGGTTCGGAACGAGCGGAAGCGCGGAAATGAGGCCAGCGTGGCAGCGGGATCACGAGTCGGAACGAGCGGTAGCCCGAAAATGAGGCCAGCGCTCTAGTGAGAGCAGCAGCAGTTTGACAAAAAACCTAGCGGACACCCAACTCTGGGCAATCTTGTATGTAAAGAACAAGTACGTGGAGGGGGGCCAGACATTTCCGGGACGTCACCGGGGGAGAGAGGAGAGTATTATTCAGATTGTGGAATTGTAAAGGGGGGATGAGTGGGAGGAGGAGGAGGAGGAGGAGGAGGAGGAGGAGGAGGAGGAGGAGGAGGAGGAGGAGGAGCATCAGCAGCAGCAGCAGCAGCAACAACAGCAGCAGCAGCAGCAGCAACAGCAGCAGCAGCAGGGGAGGAGGACGAGCGGAGGAGGAGGTGCGGAGGAGGAGGAGGAGGAGGAGGAGAGGGGAGGGCTCCTGCGCGGGGCGCGGGGGTTGGACCTCGACCGCTTTGCGGGGCGAAGAGAGACGGGGGCCGTTGCCATGGAGAGCGGCAGGCGCGACCTCTTGCGCGGCCCGTCGCGGTGCAGCGGCGCGGAGTCTGGCGCGGCGCCCGCTGAGCAGCCCTAGAAGATCCGCCGCCCGCCCCCTCGCGACGGCCAGCTGGGCCCCACCCAGCGCCCCCTCAGGTCAGCACCTCCTCCCTCCTCCCTCCCTCCTCCCCCTCCTCCTCCCTCCTCCCTCCTCCCTCCTCCTCCTCCCTCCTCCTCCTCCTCCTCCTCCTCCTCCTCCTGTCCCTCCTCCTCCTCTCCTCCTCCTCCTCCTCCTTCTTTTCCCTCTCCTCTCCTCCTCCTCCTCCTCCTCCTCCTCCTCCTCCTCCTCCTCCTCCTCCCTCCTCCTCCTCGATACTTCGGCCAAACAGAACGCGCTCCGTCCCTGCGTGAGGCGCCCCTTCCGAGAACGACGGGCGCCCCGTCTGCTGGAGGGCGCAGTCCCCCCCCCTCCCCCCGGGTGCGGAAGGGACGCATGGGCCCCGCTGGCTGAAGTCGGGCATGTTCTCCTCTACAGGAGGACTATTCCCAAATAGTAACAAACATAGTATGGGGACGTTCTGTTTCTACATTTTTCTATGTGTTGGCATATGTGCCAAGTGTTTTTATGTTTGTTACAACTTCCGCCTGCAGAGCTGTAGAGGGACATGCCCGACCTAACCGTTGGCCATAGGGGGAATCGTGTCCTGAGGGACGCGGGTCCTGAGCTGCTTCGCCGTTGTTGGGCTCCCGGGGCCTGACAACGGGCCCTGGGGCTGTCAGCGGAGGACTCAGGATGAAGATCTGTCCTGGGGGGAGGCCCCGGGGTCCAGGACCCGTTGCCCTCAGGACCCGCCCCCCCACGCTGACCAATGCCACGCGCACCCGAGGTTGGCCAAGAGGTGCGAGGGGGTTCAGCCGCGTGTCCAGGGGACAGGACGTGTTTCTCGTTGAAGGTGCCTCGAGAGTTTGTCGCGCTGCCTTTCCTCTCAGCTTTCCTTGTGTCTTCTCCCAAAGTGGCGCTGCAAAAGGAGGGAGAAGGGCGTTCGCATCGCGTCTGGGGACGAAGTATGGCGTCGGCGAGCTAGCGCTCCTCGCAGTGGAAGACAGCGGGGGGGCAACGAAGCTAAGGCCGTCAGGAGCTGCCGCGGCTCTACCGCGGGTCATGGGCGTGCTCGCCGGGAGGAGGAGGAGGAGGAGGAGGAGGAGGAGGAGGAGGAGGAGGAGGAGGAGGAGGAGGCGGCGCCTGCGACAGCGGGCAGGGCCCCCAGTTTGCGCGCCCAGCGCTCTCAGCGCTGCTGGCCGCGCGCGGGCACGCGACAAAGCAGGGCGCGCGGGTGGCGCGAGGTGGAGGGCAAGTGTGGTGTAGAGAGCGTCGTGTTACCCGAGGGGAGGCTCGGGCGGAGGGACGGCGCCGATCGGCAGCGTTGTGAGCAGGCGCGGTTGCTCGCGCTCTCGCTTGAACCCGGATGCCAGCAGGATGTTCAAGAGCAGGAGCAGGAGCCTCAGTATCGCCAGCGCAGGCAGCAGCTTGACGAGGGGGGAGGGGGGAGGGAGGGGCTGAGGGACCGCGCAATCTCGCAGGGGCGAGAACCTACTCGCTCCTCCTCGGGCCTTGCTGTCCGAGCCTAAGAGCTGCTCAGCGCGAGTGCAATCGGGCTCCGCCCGGCATCAAGCGCGAAGTTAGGTGGTCCATGAGTGGTCGAGGGGTGTTTGTAGATCTCATTCGAGTCAGGGTGGACAGGGCACGCCAGCACGCCCGAACTGGGGCCAGCATCGATGGCCGATGGGGACCCCGCGCGAACAGCAAGTGCTGTCCGAATCAGACAGCGACTGTTGATGCGCCCGTGTTACTCACCTCTGATCGGACGACGTCCGCCTTGACGCCGACGGCTAAAAGCTGTCCAAAATAATCAGGAATTTCTGTCATGTTGCATAGTGGTCCCCCCGACCGAGACAATTACGTGTGCATGTGGCTCGCATCTGTCCCCCGCCTTTGTCCGGCTTCGGCCTGGCCACTACCGCTTCCTTCCAGGTCTAGTTTGTGTAGCCCTTCGCTCGTCGGGTTCCTGTGGGTCCCCACTCAGTGTGGCTCCCTATACGGTGTGCTCTGCGTCACCTCGCTCGATGCTGCGTGAGGGTACGGCGCGCGCCGGCTTCCGACTGCCTGACTCTGCTGTGCCGCCGTGCGCATGGCTGCGACGCCAAACAATTGTGAATACGGCAGGTTCGCGTCGTGTCGACCGTCGGCGACCCCGCCCGCGGCGTTTAACGTTGAACGCCGCCGGCGACCCAGAATCGGTCGATGTTGAACGATTGGACGTTGCGGGAACGGCCGATCGTTCAAGGTTGAACGATCCCTGCGGTGTCAGAAACCAACGCTGGGGTCGACACGACGCGAACCTGCCGTATGTGTTTGTGTTTCCACGTGTCCGTCTTAACTGAATTCGACCCGCTGATTGTAAGGCATGTTCGCGCCAGAGGGATCGGCGAGTTTTTTTGTTGTGTGTTTATGTGTGTGGTGGGGGAAGACGACATGGGGGAGAAGGCGGACAGAGGAGGAGCAGTAGGGGGAGGAAGGGAAGGAATAGGAGGAGGAGGAGGAAGAGGTGGATGAGGAGGAGGAGGAGAAGTATGATGACGAGGAACATCAAAGAAAAGAAGCAGGAGGGGGGATGGAGGAGGAAGGTGGGCTCCTCGATGGAGGAGGACGAGGAGGAAGAAGAGGAAGGGAGGGATGAGGAGGAGGAGGAGAAAAGGAGGAAGAGGAGGCGCCTTTTGCCCTCGAGGGCCCACGTGACTTTTCCAGTTTAACTCGCCACTCTGTTTTCCGTGACTCGTTGGCATCTGTATTGAGGCCACATTATTTAAGTCGGTTGTCTCGGCTTAGGCTACCATTCATATTGCCTAGATGCTGCGACCATCCGGTCGTAGCTCGTGCAGCCGAAGGAGCAGGAGCAGGTCGAGGAGGAGAAAGAGAAGGGGGAGGAGGAGGAACACGATAAGGAATGATACGAGGGGGAGGAGGAAGGCGCGAGGAGGAGGACGTTGGCCCGGGCGGGAGGAAGAGGAGGGGAACGATGAGGATTGCTGCTCATTCCTGCCCCATCGGCAGTTGCGGACGGAGAGTCACCTCGCAAGAGGTCCTGGTCACGCGACATCCTCGATTGTTCAGATCACCACATCGCTGGCGGCGGCTGCGAGAGATGGACTGGGAGGGTCAAGGGCGACGCTGCTCGTTGATCACTGACTGCCAGCGAGCGCAAATAATTTCAATGGGTACTGAGCTGTTGGCGCGCGACCCCGCGGCCGAGTCGATCTGCAATTGCATCGGTGAGAATTTGTTGTCCATAGTGGAACGCGACTGGCCTCCTCATCAGCACCGAGCTTTGGTTACACGGCGCTGGCGCGACTTCAATGTGGTGGCATATTTATTTGGCAACTACACGATGGACACAAGCATGTCGTAGTCCAGGCAGCTTGATTTCCCCTCCGACGATCTACGTCTGGAGCGATGCAATCTTGTGGTGCGTTCAGCCGGTGGCACGAGAGCGGGGGCGTGTTCAGCCACTGGGTGCGTAGTAGAAGTGGGCGCACACGACGGATCCACATGGTTCCGCCCTTCAGAAATGGCCGAAGATTATGCGTCGTCTCCCAGTTCATCATGTCACGCAGAGGCATTGGCACTCGAGCAGAGCATTGTATTTGCGAGCCCGATGTTGGCAGCAAGAGGAGACATATGACAAGCAGTGGAGGGAAGTTGTAGTCAGCTGGCCTCCGAGGGGCCCCAGGCTATGCGAAATGACATGTAAGGAGGAGGACGAGGGGGCAGGGAGGTGGAGGAGGAGGAGGCGGAGAAAGGTAGTCTTCTCGATGGTAGGAGGTGTGGGGGGGTTGAAATCCTGCCCACTAGGACTCTCCTCTCACTGGGACGCTCGGGCCGCGCCCGAGGCGAGCTTCTCTACTCGCTCCTGTCGACCGCGTTTGGGTACGACCCCCACGGCTTCGGCGTGCCGTACGCGGGCTACATCATGGATTCGAAGGCGGGCAGCCAGCCGCTTCCGGCCCGCAAAAGGCACTTGCACAGCTGGACCTCCGCTGTTGAAAGTTGGCGTGCAATTGCCATGGCCGGGCTAGGGGCATCCTGGGGCCTGGAATGTTGTACAACCCGTCCTGGCCGAGTCCAGGAGGGCACACTCCCCGTGCCAGTGTCCAGGACGGTTCTGACCAGGCATGGTGGCGCATAGGTGCCTTCTGCGCACACTGGGGGGTGCGCATCAAGAAGCTGGGTGTTTTTCGTCCGGGTGCTTCGGGTCTCTGTCCTTTTCGCCTTGTGCGGTGACTTCCCGCGGGCCGCGGGCGTTACGAAACCGTTGCGTTGAGATCTTTTTGGGGTTTTCCCTCCAGTTGCGCCTCGCGCGCGGATTCTCACATGTTGTTTTTTGTCGCGAGCCTCGTGTGGCCTCGGCCGCTCTGTATTGAGGGGAAGGGTCCTCATCAACCTCGTTCCCCTGCTCCCACTCCTCCCGTCTCCTCCATTCCCTCTTCACTTCTCCCTCCATACGCCTCCTCCTCCCGCCGCCCGCCTGCGGGAGAGGGAAAGGGCATTCCCCATATTCACATCCGAGATGCATTTGCTCTCGAGCGTTAGGTCTGAAATTAGGGTGGAGACGCCCCTGTTGGACCACAAGGCTGCGCAGAGAGTGGGCGCGAGCACACGAAAAAGAGAGCGAATCTCCCCCCGCCTCCTCTATGTCCGCCTCCTCTTCCACTCCCCCCTTCCTGCCAATCCACATCGTTCTCTCCTTCCCTCCCGCTCTTCCTCCCACCAGCCCAACGCGCGCGCTCCTGCGCGCGTGGGGGTTGGATGGGGAAGGTCAACGCGGGGCAGGTCCAGCCCCCTGCCGGAGGGGCTCCGAGATGCGTGGATGGGGAGGGAGGAGGAGATGACCGAAGGGGAGACGGGGGAGGGGAGGGCGGACGGAGGTGGAACAGCGAGAGGAGGAGGAGGATGAGGAGCAGGTGCAGCATGAGCAGGAGGAGGAGGACGTGGAGGATAGGGGTCGGACCAGGAAGAGGAGGACCAGACGGAGGAGTGGATGGTTATGAGCTGCAGTATGACAGGAGGACGAGAAGAGGAGTAACATGAACGATGGTGGAGATGGGATGAGTGAAGAGGGGGGGTCTTGGAGGTGGGAGGGAGTATGGGGAGGTGAGGAGTGGATCAGGGGAGGATGGAGGATTGCTGGCACAGAATGGAGGACGGAGGAGACGAGAGGGGACATCATATTGATGGAAGGAGAAAATATGGAGGAGAGATGGGGCTGGGCGCTACGTGCTACCTGCGAAAAACTGGTCTGGAAGCTCGGGAGAGAGTAGGGAGCAGGATGATATGAGAGAGCCACCCTCTTCCTTCTCCTCCTCCTCCTCTTCTTCCTCCTCCTCCCCCTCCTAGGTTGCCGCGGGAAGGTCCGGCACCATACCAACACGCTAAGAAGGCACCACATTCCGCCCACAGCAACTTCGGCCCTGATTCCCACCCTCAGCCAAAGGGGGGAGGAAGGCTTTCGAACTGTCGGTGAGCATTTCTGTGGTTTGCTTTTGTTTGTTTTCTCTTTGTCTCTCGCTGTCTCTCTCTCTCTCTCTCTCTCTTTCTCTCTCCTTTTTTCCCCATCCTCTATTCGATGGATATAGTCGTACGCAACCCACTTGCAGCGCTCACGGGACAACGACTGGAAAACATCAGCCACGCGTTGAAGGGCTGGGACATCATCATACGCAGTGGGAGTCAAAAGTGGGCGGAAAGGTAGGGTAGTTTGCTGACCCACCTACGACACCACTGGCCCTTCAGTTTCGGAGGTAAGGATGGGAAGCAAGTGACGTCGGAATGCGGCCCAGTTTTGTCACCATCGCATGACACCCCACGGAAAATGATGATCCGATCCATCTTTCTGTTTCCACCCGTGGGGAGCAGCACGTTTTCAGTCTAAACGAAATCAGTGGCGTCTTGCGCTACAGTCGGGGTGCTGAAGAAGGAACCCTTTTCATTGGGGAGGGGCTCCGCGTTCCTTAAGTGTTTCACAGCTTGCCTCAGTTGTTCCTTATGTTCTCGATCGGAAATCGAAGTTTAACTTCTGGAAAAAAAAGGTGCCTCGTTCCTTATTTAGGGTTCCTTAGTTCAACGCCCCGACTGTATCACAGGGTATTGAGCCCCGGCGCACGCAAAGCATATCACATCGCCAAGACAACCACCGAGTTGGTAGGGTAAGAGCCATGAGTGGCCGACAAGAAAACATATTTTGAATAACCATCAGGGGGTATACCGAAACACACAATCCGAAGTCCATGGGCCTCCGGCGATGTAGCACAAGGAGAAACGAGCAACGTGGCAGGAAACGTGGGCAAGGAATCGAGTTCATGACAACGGGACCATGTCGGGATGATCTTACAAGGCCAGCTTATTTAATCGCTTCGCTCATTCCGCCGGCCCATAATGTCGCACCGTGGTCGCCTGTCCGAGTGGTCGTTTGCAGTGTGGAGCTGCGGCGTCGGGAGCTGTGTAGTTGTCGATAAATTTGTTAATGTTTTTGTTTCATGGGGTTTCTAAGTGTTTGCAGTTTTTTGACGGCTTTGCTGCCATCGTGGGGGCGTGTTACCCGTGGTATCCCTCTGTGGGGCCGTTCGAGCCGGGGGAAGAGACATCTTATGCGATAGGGGAACCCTCGTGTCGGAGAGCGGCGGGCTTTGAATGCTAACATTGGCTCTGTTATCGTCCTGATGTCCTCTGGCGTTGCGGACACGGGCGTGAGGGAACACTTTCTTGTGGCGTTTCTCTTACCATTTCTTTTCTAATTGGACCGGAGGAGGAGGAGGAGGAGGACGACGACGACGACGACGAGGAGGAGGAGGAAGAGGAGGAGGAGGAGGAGGAAGGAGGAGGGGGATGAGGAGCGATGAGGAGCGCCTTTGTCGTCAGCGTCGTCGCCGCCGCCGCCGCCCGCCGCCGCCGCCCGCCGCCGTCGTCGTCGTCGTCGTCGTGGAGGGTCGAGGCTCGAGGCTGGAGGCCGAACGCGGGGGAGGAGGACCACCCCGACCCGCGTTCCCCAAGTCGCGTCTGGCTGGAGTCTTGGAGGCGTCCTGGGGGCCTCCGGAGGGTTTTTTGGAGGCCTCCAGAGGGCGTTTTGGAGGCCTCTTGGGGCCTCTTGAGGGCCTCTTGGGGGCCTCTTGGGGCTTTGGGGGGCGTCTTTGGGCCTCCCGGGAGCCTCTAAGGGCCGAGAGCTCGAAATTCTGTTTCGTGAACCCCCTCTTGGGGCGTTCTTGAAGCGTTCTTGGCCGTCTTGGAGCCGTTTTGGGCCGTCTTGGGGCCCTCTTGGGGGCCTCTTGGGGCGATCTTGGGGCGATCTTGGAGGCCTCTTGAGCCGTTTAGGGGCGTCGGGGAACCGAAAAGGTTAAAACGCCCAAATCTGTCCAAAACCAAGGGGAAGCAAAGTTGTTTGCCCTTGGGGCCCTCTTGGGGGTTCTCTTGGAGGCCTCTTGGGGCATCTTGGGGGCTTCTTGGGCCATCTTGGAGACGTTTTGGGCCGTCCGGAGGCCATCTTGGGCGTCGTGGAGCGATACTCGGGCGTCTCGGACCTCTCTTGGACCGTGTTGGGGGCGTTTTGGGGGCCCTTTTGGGCCGTCTTGGAGGCCTCTGGGGCCGTCTTGGAGCCGTCTTGGGCCGTCTTGGGGCCCTTTTGAGGGCCTCTTGGGGCGATCTTGGGGCGATCTTGAAGGCCTCTTGAGCCGTTTAGGGGCGTCGGGGAACCGAAAAGGTTGAACCGCCCAAATCTGTCCAAAACCTAAGAAAAAAAGCATTGATTTGCGCCTCTTGGGGACATCTTGGGAGTGTTCCTGGAGGCCTCTTGGGGCATCTTGGAGGCTTGTTGGGTCATCTTGGAGACCTCTTGGGCCGTCTGGACGCCATTTCGGGCGCCGTGGAACGATCTTCGGGCGTCTCGGACCTCTCTTGGATTGTGTTGGGGGCCTCTTGGGGCCCTCTTGGGGCGATCCTGGAGGATCTGGGGGAGTGTCCCTGGCGTGTCCCGGGCGTGTCCCGGGCTCCTCTCGGGGTGGGTGCTTTTGATCCAGGGACCCCCAAGGGCCGGCCCGCCGGCGCGAACCAGAAATACCGTTTACCAGTTACCGGAGATCTTAGCACGCCTCTGGCCCGTTGGGCCGGCGAATTTTCGAACGCGACGACGTTTCATGGCCCAGGGCCACCGTGTTCTGGCACAAAAAGGCTTTGTATAATGATATCGGTTTCATTTCCATCACAGCAGCACCCTTATCATTGGTTTCGGGCTGCGTCATGCTGAGCGGCAAATACATTAAAACTGATGCGGGACAGAGGGCACATATCATCGATCACAGTTCAGTAGGCTTTCCCAGTTACCGGCAGACTCAGCTCCACTTGCAGAAGAAGTATGAGACGAGAGCCCCGACTTGACAAACACAAGAAGGTTGATTTTCTGAGGAGGGGCAAGAAGAGATCTGTAGTTTCTCGAGACTCTTGAACAGCTATTAGACAGAGAAAAATACAGAAAGCATCCGAGGGCAAGCACGCCCGATGGCGCGTGGAAGGTCTGGAGCGACGCTGCTCGAACAGCCTTTGGCGACTGCGCCCAGCAAGGCAGAGGCGACCTCAACGCTGCGCAAGTGGAGGTGAAGGAACACAGGCCTGCCTTTCGATGGGGAAGAGGGAGCTGTGGGAGCAGGCGGTCACTATATGCGCAGAACAGGAGCTCGAAGAGGCCAAGGAGCTACGGCGCGACGCGATTGGTTTCTCGGAGACACCCCGAGAAGAATCGACGAAGGTCAGAGTAGGTGATTTGTTTGAAAGCGTCTTGGGGCCCCACCAGATAGCCGATTTCAGTGCCACGCGGAAGTTCCGCATCCAGCGCCAAAGAGGCGGTGGAGGACACAACCGAAGACGCGACCTTCCCGCTGGGGCTCTTTGGACAGGGGTACTTCGATGCAGGAGATGAGTAGATCACCGGAGGAAGAG